ACGTGTTGTTTAGATGCAGTCTGTGAGCCCAGCGACTGGGAAGGAGAAAATATTTTAAGGAGGGAGTTTCCTGGGAGGCGTTGGCCGGTCGTGGCTTTGCACCTTAATGACCATTTCGTACCTTGCCCCAGGGGTGTGGCCGAGAGCCCAGGGGGCAGAGTCCTGCCCACTCACCTGTCACAGAGCAATGTGCTGTGTGGGGCACAGTTTTCATTTCTAAGGGTCAGTGTCCTTGGAGAATTTGGTACATCCCAGGTGGGACTCTGGTGACTTTAGACAGAATATTCTACAAAGTAGAACAACCTGCTTTCTTGCCCAGCTAGATACGATATAGTTACTAGACACGGTTTACCTGAGAACTCGTGTGAAATAAAAAACCCTCAGCATACCCGCACGTACAAATGCATTTCTACAGATGTGTCTGTGCCCTGTTTTCTGCTGACCGAGTGGCCAGGATGTTTGGGGCTGGGGCAGGGGAGGTGTCTTCACTCCCGGCCACATCCCGTGGAGAAAAGTCCTAGGACCCAAGGAGTCATCCGGCCTAGTTTGGGGGTTTAGCAAAGTTCTGTGTCAGGAGTTAGCTAAAAATAGAACAGAGTTTTCAAGAACTCTCCTGGAAAGACAGCTTTTTATAAACGTAAGAAGCCAAGCGCAGGGAGATTCCAGATACCGTTAGTTAAGTAATTTCCCTGGCACTTCCAGAAAGTCGTGTCAAAACGGGGAGGTGAGAGAAGCAATAGCAGCAGCGTTTACTGAGCGGGTGGCCTGTGCCAGGCGCTGTTCTAGTGACACATCTGTCACTCAGTCCTGACCACGACGCGGACGCTGAGGCAAGGCAGGTTACATGACCTGCCCGGGGGGTGGAATCCCACTCGGGCCCCAGAAATTCGGCTCCAGGGTCCAGGCCGTCTGCTGCGGGTCCAGGGCACGGCGCCTGTCACCTCAGAACTCTGCCCTCCCTGCGGCTGCGGGGACGCGTCCTGCCCAACGCTGGACCGAAGGTCGACTGGAAAGTCGGGAGGCATCAGCCGTGCAGACTGGACCCGCCTGCCCTTTCCCCGGACGCGGTCGTAGCGGCGGGAACACAAGTCACGAAGTCACTCTGCACCTGGCATCTGACAAGTGCCATCGGATTTAATCCTTGAAACCACGATGAGGTTGTTCTCCTCCTCGTTTAGGGAGTCAAGGCACAGAGACACTGAGCCACTTGCCTGAGGACACACAGCTCCTAAGCACCAGAGCCAGGGCCTCAGCACCTCGAGACAAGTCTCTGTGGGGAAGAATGGCCGCTGGGACCGCAGCACTTGGCAGTGGTGTCCAGTGACGACGCGAGGCATGTGGGGGTTGGGCTTCTTGGACAGGGATCTTGCCCGTGACGAGCCCCAGTACTGTGAGCTTCGCACGTGCCCGTCGGCTGCCTCGTGGCCGATTCTTCAGGGCACCCTTGGAGGAGTTGGCTTCGCAGAGCAGCTGCCCGGGCTCCGCATCCGCCAGCTCCTGCAGCCTCACGCCCGGCCTCTGCACACGCCCACGCCGCGCCTCGGTCTGCGGTCCTGCCGGAGCCTGCCCACCCGGAGCGCTGACCCGCCCTCGCCCGCAGGGCCACACTCTCTCCTGTTCGCTGACCACAGACCCTGCAGGAAGACGCCCTCGGGCATGAGGGAGTGGCCGCGACCTCAGGATGGGAGTGACTTCAGTGTCTCAGCAGGGCCTGGCTGTTTGGGGCTGAGCGGGCGGAGCCAGAGCCCCGGGGCCGCGAGGAAGCCGAGGTCGCCGTCCCGCCTGCAGACCCCGCTCCTGGGGCCCGAGCTGCCCCTGGGCCGGAGGGTCCCTCTGGGTGCCGTCCACGTGCCCACCTGCGCCCGGGGCCCCTGACGCGCAGCTCTGCGCCTGCCTCAGTGGACACAGCTAGCTCGGCCGAGCCCGTTCAGCTTTCTGGAAGAATGCTGCTGATGGTTTTGTTAACAAATCAAAGAAATTAATCGTAGGCTCAGTATTTGTGAGGGTTGTTTTTAGAAATCCATGATTTCAGATGTAAATGGCACTTCGTTCTGGACCAGGGAGCTGAGAAGCCTGTGGAGGCGGAGGAGGAGGAGGAGGAGGAGGAGGAGGAGG